AGAGAAACCAAGAGAAAGAACCTTGGCTGGTTTTACTTTTCCTAACCCTAGGAAGGCTGGAGCCAATTTAGCCTCCCATTGCAGCCCTGACTGAAACCACAACTTTGGCGTGGACCAGGATTCAAACCAGCAAGTTCCTGGTTTATAAGTTACAGTTCTACCCACTAAGCCAAACAGGGCTGTAGACATCTCCCCAATTTATATTTTAAATTAGCTATTAGGAGGCATACTACAGCTCTCTGAGTTTCCTTTCTTCTTGTGGAGCAAGCCTGACCTTTCAGAATCAACTTTAACAAAGTGGGCCGCGCTAATTCATGTAATACGTAGAGTGGTGCTATTACTCAGTCGTCCACTAAAGATTGAAACCGTGCACTCCTGCAGTGATAATGGAACAAACTGAACCCATCAGTCATGGGGCCACAAATAACGCTGCTGTGTACATATATTATTAAAATACGTGGGTGTGGGAGTAATTAAACATTTGGTTCGGACAGCAATAAACCACTTGAGATTCTTTCTTGTGGTATAAAGTCTTCCAACCCCCTCACCCCCATAAGGTCTTTTTTATTGCAGCACTCCCACCCAACCCATTGACTACATTACTACAGTTTTATACAAAATTTGAAACATACATGGAACATAATATTAAGAACTTGAGAGTGTGTGACAAAGAACGTCCATTCGCACATCAACTTGTGCCCTCAACAAAATATCATCCCTCCCACCCCCATTATGGACTTTACCCACAAAATTTCTATCTTGGGAGTGAGTTCTGCGTAAACACTCAATGAACACATTAGTCAATTGAGCAGAAACTCACAAGAGCATTCCTTCCTTTCCATATCTCCACCATTCATTCTTGGACTCATTTCCATCCACTATCAACATTCCATTCCCTCAGTGAGGAACCCATTGTGTCCAGTGGGGATTTAATTCACCTCAGCCTGCACTTGCCCCCAAATTCACCAATTCTCTTCTTAAGCACTTATTTCTTTAGGAGTTAATCAACAAAGCATCAGTTGTGTTTGTTGAAAGACGCAACCAACATATCCACTACTCGGTGGGAGAATAAAAAATATAATCTCTAGCCCCACTGAAAATAGCAAGCACTATATTTATTTTCAGTATCTACATTTACTATATGCATCCTTCTGCACGTGCAGAAAGATAGAAACACTAAAGTGCATTATCTTTCATTTATCAAAACCTGTCACCATCTGAAGCCAATGACTCATGTTGGGCTCTCTATCCTAAGGCCCTGATGTAAACTAGCACCTCACCAACAGTTATTCTTCATATGTGAACCCAGACAGTGTGAGATAAAGGGCTGTGCAACTTTACAAGACATCATAGCCAATCCTGGCACAACACTGTCCTCACCACACACATCTATTTTTCAGCAAGTGTTTGTGTGAGAGGGAGGGGTTACTTGAATAGCAATTAGGAGCAAAAACCTTGACTGAAATTTCCCCTGTAGCTCAGGGAGGCTGACTAGAGTGACTTTACTGTCCATCTGAGATCAGCTGACCCAACAAATCAAGTCCAATCTTCTCTCCATCTGTATGACTTTGTTTGCACTGGCAGCGACTTTCCAAACTGATCCATCAACAAGTGCGAGAAACATTAAACACCAACCAACAACTGCTTCTCAATATAGCTCTGTAGCATAACAATTGTATGACGATCCCCTGATAGTTTAGTGGGCATCTTGCAGTGTAGACCAGCTAGATCATAATGTAATTCCCCAGCCTGTGTTGAGTTGGTTGATTTCACTTAGTGTGGCAACAGAGACATTCCAATTGTATTCTGTACTGATGAAGGGGAGGGAGAACTGGTCAAAGCTCCCACTTCAGATCACTTTCCTGTGAACCCTGCTCAAATGTATATTTGTGTGTATGTGGAAGAAGACAGAGCTCTGATGTGATATCCCACCGCAGGCAAATACCAACACTCACTGCCTGGGCTCACACATGAAAGCTTTGGATTACTACAGGGCCGACAATGTCCATGGAACAATAGTATATCCTCAAAGCAATCGCTGGCTTCACAAGGAGAAGGGAAAACCCGTACCTACTGAGATTAACATAAGAGCAATGCACTGTATTATTTGGTCATGTTATCTCAATCTATGAAACTCTGTTAATAGTCTTTGCAATGAAACACCTTTGCTCAGATTCCTGTTGGATGTGGTAAGTAAGATGCCCAGATTCTCACACAGGAGTCCGGCTGTGACACCACAAGTGGGCCAGACCAGACAGATCCGTGCATCTGCTATATCTGGTCAAATCTTCTCACTTTTTAAATGGAGCATCGTATCAACAAAAACAAACAATGACCAGGTTACTTTTTAGCTTTAAATATAGAACATAGGAGACCATGGAATAAGGAAAGACCATTTACCCATCATTATACCCCATGCAACACACTTCATATCATGTTCAGTAGCCTCTAGCTCTGGGAAAGCATGCTGAAAGAATTTCAAAGACAATCGAGGAAAAACTTCAGTGCACCCCTGCAGCCCCCACATTGCTCTGCACCCTGCTCGAGCTTTTACTCCATCTCTGTGAAGCACTTTGAGATGTTTAACGACGTGAAAGGCGCTATACAAGTGCAAGTTACTATTTTTGTACTTAAATCTTATCTTCCCACTCTGCTGGCAACAAGATTAATCAAAAGCTAGTTACATCCAAGTCTGCAGTTTGGTCATGGTGTCGTCACATAGGCATAAATAATGGAGTGGGCTTAGAAAAGAAAAATGATTATCCCCTCCTTATCTCCTAATTTTAGTGTTGTGTTCTGTGGAGCAGATGGATCATTTCAATCTGCACCAAAATCCTCCAAAATGGTTTGCCAGTTTGCGCTCTTTCCTCTCCACCCATTCTCTTTTTGAACCCCTTCAGTCAGGTTTCCGTGCTGCTCATAGCACAGAAACTGCCCTGGTCAAGGTCACCAATGATATCCTGACTATCTGTGACCAGGGCTCCCTCTGTCTCCTCGTCCTCCTCGACCTATCGGCAGCATTCGATACGGTCGACCACGCTATCCTACTCCACCGCTTGTCCTCCCACCTCAACCTTCAAGGCACTGTCCTTGAATGGTTTAGCTCTTACCTTTCCCACCGTCTTCACTTCGTCTCAACGAATGGCTTCTCCTCCACCCCCCGTACTGTCTCATGTGGTGTCCCTCAGGGCTCTGTCCTCGGTCCCCTCCTCTTCACCCTCTATATGCTCCCCCTCGGTGACATCATCCGCAAACATGGGGTTAACTTCCACATGTATGCGGATGACACCCAACTCTACCTTTCCTCCTCTACTCTTAACTCCACGACCACCGATGTCCTGACAGCCTGCCTGTCCGACATCGAGTCCTGGACGAGAGACAACTTTCTTCAGCTCAACGTGCGAAAAACCGAGGCCCTCCTGATTGGCTCACGTCAGCGCCTCCGCACCTCAGGCGCTGACACCATCAGCATCCAAGGCTGCACTCTCCACCTCTCAAAGCCAGTCAGGAACCTCGGCGTTTTGTTCGACCCTGAGCTGTCCTTTCTCCCTCACATCCGCACCACAACTGGCACCGCCTTCCATCACCTCCGGAATATCGCCAGATTACGGCACTACCTCACCCCTCACGCTGCTGAAACCCTGGTTCACGCCTTTGTCACCTCAAGGCTGGACTATGGGAACTCTCTCCTCGCCGGCCTTCCCGGCACCTCCCTCCACAAGCTGCAGGTCATTCAGAACTCTGCAGCTCGTGTACTGTCCCGCACCAGGCTTCGGGACCACATCACTCCTACCCTCGCTCGCCTCCACTGGCTCCCCATCCCCCAGAGGATTGATTTCAAGATCCTCATCCTCACCTACAAGGCCATTCACGGCCTTGCTCCCTCCTACCTCTCCAACCTACTATCCCCCTACCTACCTGCCCGTACCCTCCGTTCCTCTGGCTCCGGTCTGCTCCACGTCCCCCGCCCTAACCGCCCTACCATCGGTGGTCGGGCCTTCAGCCTCTCAGCCCCAGGCTCTGGAACTCCATCCCCCAGTGCCTTCGCCTTGCTTCCTCCCTTTCCTCCTTCAAGGCCGGTCTCAAAACCTTTCTCTTTGACCGTGCCTTCAGCTCCCCTCTCGACTCTCTTCCTCCTCCTCGCTCCCTCCCTTCCCTCCCCTCACCCTGACCATTTCCCCCCTCCTCTCTCCCTCCCTTCCCTCCCCTCACCCTGACCATTTCCCCCCTGCTCGGGTCATGACCCAACTGTGCAGCGCCTTGGGACGTCCTCCTGACGTGAAAGGCGCTCTATAAATGGAATGTTGTTGTTGTTGTTGTTGTTGTTGTTGCCCACAGATTGATATCTGGCTATTTTTGAAGGAAAATTATTTATTGTAATCTGGAGTTCAATTTGAGAACTTTATTTTTAAACCTGATGCAGTTCCTAACAGCCCAAAGCAATCGTATGCAACTGCTTTTATACCGCTCTGATGTCCGCAGCCACTGTATACACTGTAAACCAGGAATTAGATGTCCTTTGAGTTCAGGTTTTTAATAGTAGATCATGCACCTTAAAAATTGTTCGAAATGGTTAATCTGATAAGGCTACTTTCCAGTGTGAAACTGAGTCATACAAAGACAGGTCCAAGTTTCCATTGCTGCTATGTGGTGAGTTGGTTGATCTCAACTGAGTAAGGCAGTAAGAGTAATTGGCCTGAATATCCCGATGTAAGGAAAGGGGGCGGGGGGTGGGGGAAGAGAAATCAACTGGGGTTCTGCTCTGAATTTCTGCCCTGATCTTAATTTCTATCCCGAGAAAGTGGAAAGTCTGTGTGAGTGTTGAATGAGGACACGATTAGGCTCATGAGAAAAGGACGTGCCTAGCGACCATGGAGTTGTATCCCACTGTGATTGAGATGCTCCACAATCAAGGAAGAACACAATCAGGGAAGAGACAGCAAAAGACCAGTAAATAATAAAGATAAAACATGTGCAATATATTCATGAGATCTACTCACCATGCCACCTGTACATTCTCGACAATCTTGCAAACAGCCCACATTTTCCCAGGTGCTGTAAGCCTTCAATCCTGCCACCAAGGCTTGCAAAGGTCGATTATTGACCAGGTCCTTCCCCTGACACACATCTTCATCAAGTATCTCTCCTGCATATCTAAAAAAAATCATGTAAAAATAATAATACTTGCATCCTCGCCTACAACTCTGAAATGTCTCAAAGCACTTCACCTGCAATTCCTGATAAGTGCGGTAACCACGTATTTGTAAGCAAACATAACATCAAGGTCTCAAACAGCTATGATATGAATGGCCAATTTAACAGTTAACAGAAATCTAGGGGGAAATTCAGATTATTAGCAATTGTCTTTCCTGATGGGACTTTACTCACCTCCCAACAAGAAGCAAGCTATACAAATGTAATTTTGTATTGTATTTGATGAAACAGACAGAGCAGCAAGTTTAACCTGCGTTTGTGCACTCATGAAAACTAAATCAGTTTATTAATGAGAGAGCGAGAGAGAAGCAGCATTAAATGGCAAAGCTAGAGGGCTAAAATGCTATTTGTCAAAATGATATCCAGAGTGTGTGCTGCTGTGTTGTTGATGTTTTTGGCATTGAGCCACTGTGCTGAGAACAAAAGGGGAGGGAAAGGCCACAAGCTCACATCTTCAGTGCAATACACAGTTTTTTCTACTTTGGTTTCACCAGCTCTTTACGTTCCAACTTAAATAACATGACCACAAACAGAATGTTCTTGATAGACTTGGAGATATGTTCACAAGAGATCACATGAAAGCATTAATATAAGAGAGAAAGAATTATCCAGTGCTTTGTGTAATGTTTGCAACCAAGGACTTTTTTTTAAAAAAGAAAGAAATCAAGCCACTCTAAAGAATGATTGACTTCTGTTATTGTTTAAATTGTGGGTAGCATTGTGGAGAAGTACTCTGGAGCTACATCGTGTGATGTTGTGTGAAGAGTGATCTCACATATTTGTGGGATTACAGTAGTTATCTCCAGTGGAGGAAGCCAGCACAACAACAGACAATGCATTGAATGGCTTCCTTCGCTACATAAAGTTTCTGTGATTCTATGTCTTTAATGTCCCAGTCTTGAGTGAGCTGCTGTGGGGAGACAGTGGTTAAAAGCCAGATGCTTCCCACACACACAAGGGAGGTACAAGGTACAAAGAACAGGTAATTTCCCAAGCAGTTATAATATGCTCAGTGCCATCCAGTCATCTTAGTTGAGGGCAGGTCGGCTGCAGATCATGTGTGGTCTGGGGGATTGGGAAGGGGAGCAGGAAGTAAATGTTTTGTTGTGATTAGATTGAAAGAGATCACCTCACTTAATACTAGAAATCCAGTATGCCACAAGCCACAATATAAATTTATTTAAAAATGTAGGTTGTTTTGAAATAACACAGAGGATTTTGAAACAACTCATGATGAGTTTCAGAAGTGCTTCTTAAAACCTTTACTGATGAACTTTATCATATATCTGGCATAACATTTACTTCCTCTTTCTGGGGCGAGAACAGGATCAGGCTCAGCTGTGACAATTGCAGATTTGAATCCCCAGTCTTGTTGATTTCAGCCAGTGCAGCGATTGGGGTTATGAGCAACCTCGGTGCCTCTGGGTTATGGAGGGCAAAAAATCATCCAAGGTTCCCATTCCAAGTTGTTATCCAGAGCTCCCTCCTGGTCTAAGCTTATGTGTAGAAATCGAGGGAGGAAAGCATTATATCCAGTTGTGATGCCCAATGAACAAATAACCTGCCAATACTCATCGCCAATTACTACATGGGCAGAGCATCAGAAAGTACCCATTGAACTGTAGCTCAATTGAGGGTCAAAATAAATTGAAAACACCTTCAGAAGAGGGGCAGAGAAACTTAGCAGGAAAAAATAAAGGTAGAAATATTGTTCATAAAATGGCCACTGGGATCAGTTACAGTTTGCACTCATAAAAGTGGAGTGGGGAAAAGGAGGGCAAACTAAACTAAACGTGCACTCAAAAATATGTATTCACCACATATTAGAAGGAAAACTGGGTAGGTATTGATGGAGGCACCAAGCACCAGAATTATCACAATAAAAGTTGTGTAGAAAGTGAATATTTTGTGAATAAACTGAAAACACTGTATATTCAGATTATTCAACATGGTATTAAATTTTACTGTTGCATTCGTGCAGTTTACCAAAGGTGATTTATTTATTCCACAGGCCTTACCTCATCAAAATATACAGGTGTAACTAACCTGATGGGATCAGTTTACTCGAGATCTCAGACACAAAGTGTCGCAATGATACACTGAGATATGTACGGGATAACCTGATAGTTAAGTGAGAGAGAAACCTCCGAGTGGTGTTATCTTTCTAAATATCCACAAAAAGGGCTTGAGCCTTTATTTTCCTAAGTAATCCTTCATCGTATGCATGGCTTCTGTGGACATAAACATGCCAAAACAAAGTATCACGCAATAAAATGTGCAGTTGTTGCTTGGAATCAATGTGAACATGACTTTAAGGGTGTCCTGTAAAATAAAATATTAAACAGAGACCTTTATAGGCTGCTAATGCTTCAGAATGCTCAGCAGGGATACACAATACACCACACCATATAAAATGACCAAAAACTGGAAACAGCTGCTACAGTGTGTAACACAGAGCTATTTAGTCACCACCCACAAGAAGTGCTAGCAATCGAGCAATTTATTTTTTCACGTGGAAACGATGTTTCAGTTTCAGATAAACTCAAGTGTCGGGCTCAACGTAAATCTCAATTTCTCAACACAGCGATGAATCAAAATTCAAACGTGACAGTTGTGTATTCGTACCAACAAAACCAAGCAAACACTTTGGATTCCTTGTTCAAAGCAATTTGTACTGCTCAACTTTGTTACTTCCACCTCCTTCCTTTAACATGCTGACTGACATACGGTGTTGTACTGTTCCATAAGCACTGGTCATTCTTTGCTCCCGATTTAAAAGGCCTTTGTTTATGTATGAGCCAAGCCAGTGACATCTCTAACTATAAGGGGATCACAGCCGAACCCAATGTCCACACACTTGGACTTTCCAACAGGAGCCTGAAGCGGGATCCGTGGCTGTCTTTTCTCTTCCTTAGTCTACGGGCTATACCCAGGAAATTATGCCTCAAAAAAATACAAAGTATGCAAGCAAAAAATGTAAAAGGCATTATGCAAAATTACACTTTTTTTCACCATTTAGATCCAGGATAACACATTGTACTATCTTTAGAAAAATATGGAGGCCAGTGTTCATAAATTTTGTATTTATGGAGTACATTTTTGTAGTACCTCCCACTCCAACTCTCTTCCAGCAGAGCAATGCAGAGAGGGACGGGAAGAGGACTGGAGCGGGTGTACGAGGCTATATTATGAGTGAAATTACAGAGGCGGGTAATTCCCTGGGGAATAATGGGAACAGAGAGGAATTGCAGAATTCATTGTTGTCCTTCTCTGTGATAAGCTAACTCAGCAAGAAGCAGAAACTTAGCTCCGACAGGATCTACTTCCACTCTCAACCATTATATTGCCAGTTACTCTCCCACATTGAACTGCACACATTTGTTTCCTTCATCCTCTCCAGGCTTACAGTACCTCAGCAGATCCACTGTAAAAGATCCTTTTTCTGACTTCCAAATTCCTGCATGGTTTTGTCCTGCCCTACCTGCCTGTACACTCCATTCCTCAGGGTCAGGGCTTTTGTATGCTTCCCTCTCCTTCACTTGATTATGCCCCTGTCTTCTGGAACTCTTTTTCAAAACTTATTTGCCTTATTTCCCTTCACTCTGTCTTTAAAAGCTTAACAACATATCTTTGACTTCACTTTCAATTAGCATCCTGAAATCTCCCTCTTCCCTGCTTCAAAGTGGCCATCATTATATATATCAAGTGCTTCAAGATATTCTTTAGAAGTGAAAGGCCAAAGTCTTGCTGTTGTTGAATGTGGGAAAGAAAATACGTCTGAAGCTACTATCTGTGTGTATCTTGTATAGGATCATTGCAGTCCTGTAATTACACAGCCATCAGAACTATGCAAATTGCAAATTCACTTTAATTGTCATTACAGCAGTAGCAATGCTCAATGAAGCCTTATGAAGAAGATATTGTAAAGGTGCCATCTACTGGATTTGGTCATACATTACAAAAGTTTGTTTGTTTCGAAATTTAAACTTAAAATATATTTATAAAAAGGCCACTGGAAACTGTGTCGCACTTGTACATTAGACCTTTAGGTCATTAGGTTGTCAGCTTTAAAAAAAGCTTTAAACCTTTGGATTAGTCACCTGTTTGTCAAGGGCAATCGTTCAGTTTCAAAATTGACCGGAAAAGAGAAAACATTAAGGTTTCCCAAATGCTGTACTTTGACACAACTGGTTGTTCAGGTAACTCTCCACTATCGATGACAGAATTATCTCATCTTTCAAAGTTGCAGCCGTGCCACTCTAACACACTTTTATCTGATCTACAACTCGAGTCACATATTCTGCACTGTTCTCTATCCTGTTACTTATGTATGAGAGCTGTCTGGTTGCTTTGCAGAAACACTCCCACTGCAGATCAGTGCTCACTTAGTGTTATTCTCCATGGTCAAAGCTCCATGGCTACAGCTGAGCCAAACAAAAGAACAACATTCGCAATGATAGATACACTTTGTGAAAAACAGCACTGCCTCAGTGTTAGACTGATTAATGTTCAACTTGTAACACCAACAATGAGTCAGTCCACTCCAATCTGGCATATGATTCCACTATCTCACTCCAAAATATATTCATTTTAATAAACAAAACACAAATCACTTCAGTACTGGCTCAAATTATTTTACAAACACATTTACATACAATAAGTAAAAAATTACTTTTTGGGGGCTTTGTTTCCTATTAGAACAGCTACTCTCATAAATGAATATAAATATATACAGTAGTATAGACAGTAGAATTAGAGAACGTAATAGAACAGAAACAGGCCTTTCAGCTCATTAGGTCTGTGCTGGTCTGGCATGTGATGGCTGAGTCCATTGTGGGACTGTGAGGGCCATTGTTTCATGTCCCCGATCCACCATCAGTAGATGAGCTTTCACTCACTGTGTCCCCACGCTCTGGAACTCCATCTCTGAATCCCTCCGCTTCGCCCCTCCCCACCTTTAAAGCCTACCTTAAGAACTTCCTTTTCGACTGTGCTTTTGGGTCACCTGTCCCTTCTACCCCCACCTTCCTCAGCTTCCCCGACCCCCAGCACAAGCTCCCTGACAACTGTGTGAAGCACTTTGAGGTGGAAGGTTCTATATTAATATAAATTGTTGCTGTTTTATAGCAGCAGGAATAAGACAGCGAAGCTGTATTCAAAGCGTGCAACACGTTTGTGAACAAAGTTTGAGGTTTCATCCAACCAAAGCACTGGACCTATTGCTGTGGTGCAAAGCCACCCACTGTGGATTCAGCTTTCCATTGAAATCAGTCTGCAAACCAGAGTGAGAGGCGCCTTCTTCTCAAATAACTGGCTCAGGTAAATGCACTACAGGGCACAGAATGGAAAAATGTGGAGGGAAAAGGCAGTAACTCTACTTTGGTTGGACAATGGCTGTTTTTGCATATTGTGCTATTGCTGGATACAAAGGTACAATGGACCTTTATTATTTCATTCCCTTATTTATACATGAGCCTTACAAATAACATCAACACAATGATTCGGGCTCCTTTCAAAGATCAACTGCTAAAGTCACCAACTCGGGTGAACCTCAGTCATACACACCAGAGATCAGATTCAATCCACAAACACTATTGAGATCACTGAGCTCAGCAAAGTGTAGGTAGGAGGTGCTAGTCACAATGATCGAGGAGAGGGAAGAGGCTGAACATAAGCAAAGTTCCCAGCCCGCCCAATATCCAGTGCCCCTCATCCAGAAGGCATGTCGTTGGGAATGGAACGCAATAACAACAAAATTACATTTGTATAGCGCCTTTCATGTCGGGAGGATGGCCCAAGGCGTTGGACATCTCAGTGTTTCGGACCCGAGCTGGGGGTCAAGATCGGGGAGGGTGGAGGAGGGAAGAAGGGTGACCGAAGGCACGGTCGAATAGTCAGAGTGCTGTGCACTTGAAGCACTGTACAATAGGTACAATCAGACATGTTAGATAACATGGAAATGTAGATGAGGCAAATGAGCTAGTTTGGCATCTAACCTTTACGCTTACAGGATTGTCCTGGGTAAAGCATGGTCATTTCTAGACGTGGGAAAAAATCCTTTACATGTTGGTGTTAAAATTTGGTGTTGGCTGTTATCAACCCCGTATTATGTGCGGGGTGTAAACATCTGTTAAGAGGAATTACATGTGCCGTTAATGATATAATCAGCAATCAGTGAAAAGATAAAATAATTTAATTAGCAACCAATTATTTTCATTGATTAACTACACATGAAGGACACCTAATAATAATTCTTGCATTTGATATGATGCCTTATCAAGTCTTTGAGATGTCACAAAGCACTTCACAGGATATATTGTAAAGTGAATTTGACTGTATATTTTGTGGGAGAAACACGGCAGCCAATTGTGCACAGCAGTGTCCCACCTATTGAAAAAACAAACATTTCCTCGCTCTCTGGTTGGAAGCTTACATTCGCTCTCTGTTCACTAATTTTCTCCCTTTCTCTCCTGAAGGCATTTGATGCCTTTTTCCTTGGGAATCTTGCCAAAGTTACTATTACTCCTGCATGATAGTGAGTGTATGAAGCCTATTCATGGGGGGGTGGGGGAGAGGAGGCAGGAGGCATACCATCCTAGTTCCTAGGGTCCAATTCTGCCCTCACTTGGCATTCCTATACTTCAGGTGTTTCGTTAAAAATACCATCTAGTACTATACTTCATACCACTGCCTTTTGAATTAATTCTATTCTGTACTTCACTTTGCAGTCATGTGCCTTTGAATATCACACAAATAAAAATAATCCTTGCATTTGATATGACGGCTTACTATATCGTTGAGATGCCTTGAAGCGTTTCACAGGCTATAATGTAAAGTGCATTGACTGGGTATTTTGTGGGTGAAATGCAGCAGTTGGGGTGAGTGACCAAATTTATTTGGGGGATTGTTGGCCAGGACACCAGGTGAAACTCCCTTCTTTTCGAATAGTGCCATGGGATCTTTAACGTCCACCTGAACTGGCAGACGGAACCTCGGTTTAACAACTCATCCGAAGGACAATAAACTTTTCATGAAAGATCTGAACATCGAATTCCCATTGAATCATGTCTCTAGCTAGCGTGGGGTTACTAATGAAACATTGGGAATCTAATTTGTATGATTCATAAAAGGATACAAAAGTATCATATCCTGTAGATTTATCAGTCGGATGTGTCTCACCTTGACTCACTGAAGCTCCGCTTGGAGAGCGAATACTGGGAGCTTTCTGTGGCTTCACAGAAGTCAGAAAAAAGAATGCATGATGCAGCTTGATAGACATCAGGTACTCAGAATAGGGTTGGGTGGGAATTTGGGAGGTGGGAGGAGGCTGATGCAGCCACCTTTACTCTCTGGGTAATGCATATTCCATACTTACAAGAATTTCTCATTTTAAACCGCAAGTTCCATTCTGAAAGCCTCTGTCATTCAGGACAGATTGCAACCTCAATCAACACAATCAGTGCTAAGAGTTTATAACTTACAGAGAGCGAGCGCAGCACTTCTCAGCATTGTATCCACTGGTATCAGCCTCAGCCTCCCACTGCATCAGAAGCTCTGCACAAGCTGCACGGGACAGCCAACATCATCCACTTGGCTTTCAAACCAGCAGTATCACAATTTGTGAAACACTGGTAACATTTCCAGAGATACTGATGTTTGCATACAGCCTTCTGTTGTTTTACGTCCAGCAACAGGTCTTTATCAAATAAAAATGTTACCAAAAGAAAATCCCTTTGCGGTAAATTCTTGCAGACTGGGAGAAGGCAGTGTGCTGTGGATCTGAAGATAAAAATGTAACAATGTCCTGTATAGAGAGCGGCATGAGGGAGGATTGTGGGTTTAGGACACAGATCAATTAAGTATTTCCTCAAACTACTGAATCCTCAAGCATAATACTGATGCCATATATTTGTGTTTACATACAGCCTTCTGTTGTTCTACAAAAGCAGATTTGTTAAAACTAATTCAAATGAATATTGAACATTTTCTGAAGCAAGAAGAGGCCAGTGTTGATCTGTTTTTTTTTCCTGCTGAAACTGATTGTTTCTTTCATCGGCTGGGTGTCTGATATGCCCAGAAAACCAACATCATTCTTAAAAGCCTAAAACAAACTCCTGAAGCTTCCACCATGTTTGGTTTGTGTTTGTCTGGTATGGAGTATGAACTCTCTGCCTGGAGGAACTCGTACTGCTCACTTAATCATGCAGAGCGTAGACCTGAGTTGGCAAGAGCCAAGGCTTGGGACCCCAGAATGTGCACTGTAATATTATTGGCCTTTAATTCAATTTAATTCATAAAGATTGACATCCTAACAGTAGCTCACATAGTTCACAACAACTTCAGAACGAAAAATACAGATATTTAATTGTAGAACGTGCTTAACAGCAAGCAATTGCAAGTCTAATAAAGGCATGCAGAAGATAGCAGGTTGCAATCCTAGTCTCAGCAGCTGTTGGGGTGCTGCAGTCAGAACAATGGGAAGGGAAATCAGACAGGGTTTCCGCTCACAAGAACAACCCATTGACATCTGATGAAAGGTGTGACATCTGCATGTGTGTGTGAATGTTGAATAAGGGCAGGGTCAGGTTTGGTTGTGGTGACAGGCCCACCCACCCCCTTCACCGTCCCACCGTTAAACAGCCTGCTAACACTCACTGTCATGGATTAAGCACACTCAGTTAACTGTGACAAGATGTACTCCTTTAAAAAGCAATTACTACACCTTTGACATACACAAATGTTTTCATTAAAGTAAATTTCAAATAAATATTACACTATATTTGCCAAGCTTTTCCTTTGAATGTTGAACAAAACTAGTTAAAATGTTTAAAGGAATTGCAGGTCATCGCATTGTTTAATGCACCTGTAGGAGGTAACAGCTAGAAAAATGCTGGATGGTTATTTCCTTCATTTTCAGATGAAATGCTCCAGCAAAAGGAAAATTTGATAATTACCTGGGTTAAATATCACTAAATAGCAACGTCCTGTTTTCATAGAGCTTTGTGTGGCTCTTTATCAAATATCCCCAAAAGTTAAGTCTTGCAAATAAGGCAGGAACCTTAGACAATGCCCTTCTGGTGGAAGAATTGCGAGAGAAGTAGACAAGGTGCTGCGGTTTCTTACCTGCTTGTAAACGTCAGTGCCAGTGAAGTGGCGAGATGAGGCATTAGGCGAAGATACTGGGTCTGGTGCTCGATGATTTTGACTTCTTCTTTGTTCTTTGGCCCAAACTGTCGGCGGCTATTATTAAAACAATGGAAACAGGAGTCAAAGATCGATTAGGGGAAATAAGACAAATCTAGCCATTGCTTGTGCATTAGCCTGACAACTGCACTTCAAACTTGGTGCTCTGTGACAAAGTGTTTTTTTATATATTACGTAACCGCAAACTGTTAGCAAGTGCCGAACACAGTCAAGCACCATCAGTGTGAATGAGAACACCGTTGTTTCAATTGAGCACAATATATTCAGGAATATTGATTTGAAGCAAGCTGTCGACCTTTACTTAGTACAGTAAAACTCACACAAGTCGTATCAGTCGGGGCCGTAACATTTAATATGACTTACACAAAGTTCAAGTTACTGGCAAGCATGTATAAATCGGATAATCTACATTGCAACCGTGTAGTTCAATGCAGCCAGTAAATGTGCTACTTCATCACTGCAGCTGGTAAGTGGTAAGTACCATGCAGTGATGGGTCATGACCTGGGCCAACAGAATAGTGCGGCCCCACGTTTTCCCCTAAAACGGCCCTAGCCAGCTACAAACGCTTCATAAATGTAGTTTCTGGCACATGGGCTGCTCGTGCCATTTACCTGACGTCACTGTCGTCTGTGTCTGTATGCGGTGCCAGCTCTCAGAGGGAGGAGGTGGTGAGCTTCTGTAGCCCTGCTGGTGTCCATTCCATCCCCTCCCCACCCCCAAAAAATAACCATCCAGGTTTTGTTAAAGAACCAATTAATATATTTTTTTGCAAATCTAATACATGTTATTTCCTTATGTTTAGTTTTTGAAGAAACCTTCCCATGACCCATCACAGCTATCTAGCTACCGGTCCATCTCAAATCTCCCGTTCCTATCCAAGGTCCTTGAGCGGGCCGTTGCCTCCCAGCTTCACTCTTTCCTCTCCTCCCACTCCCTCCATGAACCCCTCCAATCGGGTTTCCGTGTCGGATTTCCGTGCTGCCCACAGCATGGAAACTGCTCTGGCCAAGGTCACAAATGACATCCTAACCATGTGTGACCAGGGCTCCCTCTGCCTCGTCGTCCTCCTCGACCTCTCTGCCGTCTTCGACACTGTGGACCACTCATTCCTCCTCCACTGCCTCTCCTCCCACCTCAATCTTCAAGGTTCTGTCCTTGACTGGTTCAGGTCCTACCTTTCACACCGCCTCCACTTCGTCGCGGCAAACGGCTTCTCCTTCAACCCCCGCACCCTCTTGTGCGGTGTTCCTCAGGGCTCTATCCTCGATCCCCTGCTCTTCACCTTCTACATGCTCCCCCTTGATGCCATCATCCGCAGACATGGGGTAAATTTCCACGTATACGGATAACACCCAACTCTACCTCTCTGCCTCCACCCTGAACTCAGGACTACTGGCATCCTGACCAACATCAAGTCCTGGACGAGGGCCAACTTTCTCCAACTTAACTTCAGCAAGACCGAGGCCCTCCTTATTGGCTCGCGCCAGCTCTTCCCAACTCTTCCCTTCACAAGCTGCAGATCATCCAAAACTCTGCAGCTCATGTACTCTCATGCACCAGGCTCCATGACCTCATCACTCCCACCCTCTACTGACTCCACTGGCTCCCCATCCCCCAGAGGATCGAGTTCAAAATCCTCGTCCTCACCTTTAAGGCCATCCATGGCCTTGCCCCTTCCTACTTCTCTGACCTGCTAACTCCCTACCAACTTGCCTGTTCCCTCCATTCATCGGGCTCCGGTCTGTTCCATGTCTCCCGCCCCTAGCATCGGTGGCCAGGCTTTCAGCCTCTCTGCCCCCACACTCTGGAACTCCATCCCACCGTCCCTTCGCCTCACTTTCTCCCTTGCCTCCTTCAAGGCTGGCCTCAAGACCCTTCTCTTCAATTGTGCCTTTGGTCTCCCTCCCACCTCTCTGCCTTCCCTCACTCCTACACCACCCCTCCCCCATTGCTCGGGCCCCGATACCTGACTGTTCAGCGCTTTTGGACGTCCTCCCAACGTGAAAGGCGCTCTATAAATGTAATTTTGTTGTAGTTGTTTTTATCAATAAAGTGAAAAAATGTAGCAGTAAAATGTACCTGAATAGCACTAACCAACCCTGCAATAGTCCCTCAAAATTCAGCGAAATCCTCTGCAATTTCCTGCAAGATTTGTAAAGCGCTCCACAAGTTTTGCAAAAATGTCTGCACTTTTCTATTTGCCCAAGTCATGACTACGTTTCCCACCATTCAATACATTTTGACCCGTCACTGCATGCACACTTACCGGCAAGCATTGCAATCGCGGGATGCGCATGCAGTGACGAGATAATACTATGTTGCCCACAGTTCAATGCAGTAAGTGCACATGCATCAATGGAACAGGATGACACTTCCCACAATTCCATACAGCCGTTAAGTGTGGCGTAATGGATGATTAATACAACTAGTGCAAAGAAATAAATCTAAGTGGTTTTGGTAGGAAACTGAATATAATACAAAAATACTAAGTTACATTTGTAAAGCGCCTTTCACGTCGGGAGAACTTAGGTGGGATAGAGAATGGGACTCAGGTGCATGCAGGACTTAGACAAGATTATACGATTTATAAAGATAAGACTTATGTGAGATTTACTGTACTGCACGTAACAATGGAAAGTCCCACCAAGATGCAAAAATTGATAAGACTATGAATCACTATTTAACAAGCAAGTCTTTTTTAATAATTACCTTTTATTAACGTTCACTTGATGCAGGATAGATTACAATAAGATTAGCGTCATCTTCTTTACATTACCTTCCAACAATCTGTTTAGGTGTGACAGCAATGTTCCATTTATAACTTATTTTTTTTAGCGTAATTTTCAGTTGTTTTAGATACAAACCCGTTTGCTCAGCTAAAGTGGGGGAAAATGAGGTTTTAGAATTGGATTAATTCCTTTTCACACCCTATGTTATTATCAATAATTCTCATATACAGCACAGGTTCAGGTAGTTAGAGTTCTACTTCTACTGTTCTGATAAATATATCTGGAAGCATGTATTTACAAAGAAGGGAATGAACAGCTTAAACAGATTCCCAGGAAGGGTGATAGAGCCTGGGTTATTGGACCTATCAGAAAAAAAAGCTTGTGTTGGATAGGCTATATAGGATTGTTTGTGGAAGGTTAGCAATGTTTTACTTATGTGCTGAATATTTCTTTTTTATATACACAGTGTATATAAAAAGTACTTCAGCTTTTCAAACCTCAAAAACCAGAGATTCAGTTCTGAAATGTGTCATTGCAGTTGATACGGTTGATATACATCAAAAAGCACGACCTTAAGATTACAGCTTAAAACGTACGATAAAAGTAAAAAAGTTTGCAGAGATGTATAAAACAAACAAACATCCAAAAGGTTACTGCAAGGGCTGCCCCTGATTGATAAGGCAAGAAAAGAAAAAGAATCTTGCATTTTTATTGCATCCTATCATATCAAATCATCTAAACACCCTTCATAGGTAATTACTGCCAAGTATAGTGACTGTTTTTGTAGGCAAACACAAAGCAATGCCTCACAAATAGCTATGAAGGGAATGACCAATTTTATTGGGGGATTTTGGCCAGAACATTGGAAGAAATGTCCTTCCCTTTTCGAATCATAATAATCCTTGCATTTTGTTTTGCATCTTGATATAGCATCTTATCATCTCATTGAGATGTCTCAAAGCACTTCAAAGGATATACTGCAAAGTGGATTTTACTGTGTATTTTGTGGACGAAAACAACAGCCAATTGTGTATAGCAATATCTCACAAACAGCCATGGAGCGAGTGATCAATTTTATTTGAGGGATTGGTCGCCAAAACACCGGGAGAAACACCCTTCTCCTTTCAAATTGTGCCATGGGATCTTTAATGTCTACCTGAAGAAATAGGCAAGGTAATGCTGTGAAAAAGCATAGCAAAAGGCTTTATGAGCCTTCATGAGATGTTTTGCTCATGAATGTTTAATAACTGGATGCAGTCGAGTGTATCATTTGTTTTCTTAGCAACTGCTAAACAGAGGCAGTGTGAAGGCACTGTCACAGCATGAAGTAACTCTATGCCGTTAACTACTCCATTCCCCAGTCACATATATGTGTGTTTGTTTACGGAAGCTGCTCCCATGAGAAGAACAAATAGTTGCAGAAAGCTTCCTTCTAAAATGGCTTTCACAGGCCTTAAGGCAGTTAAGAACATGGAGTGGAAGCTGAACTATGACTAGCTGCCAGGTGCCAACATTCCCTGGTGCCCACAGGAAGAAATGCCCAAATGCCTGTGCGACAGTACCTGGGCATTGGTTAGTGTCTTCAGGCGAGGCGAGCCGGGATAAAACGATGAAGAGAAAAGGAATATCACAGATCCTTAAAGAACTGATCACTCGTTGCTCACAGCAAAACTTTGTATGAACATTTCAAGAGAAGATTCTGACAGGTTAACCCCCACTATTATTAAACAGCAAAAAATTCACCAGAAAAAATGTAGTCTCGTTGCAGTAAAACGGTGCCCTGCATTTCAGATCCATAAAATCCCAAACCGGGTAAAAAAAAGAGGCATTTTTGGCTTCATTGAGCATGCACACAACTGGCGATAAAATATTAAAAAATGGCCGACTTTCAGGTCATTTTCAGTTTTGTGCACATGCGCAAAGCAGGTAGTGACTTTGGCAATGAAATAATGATCTGGAAGTCTTTTTTTTAAGTGTAGGAAGCTAAAATGGTCCAGTTCTGGTTCATTACTCATTAGGGCTTCTCTTACGCTAAAAAACACTTTCAGATCATCATTTCATTGCCAACTACCAGCTTTGCACATGCACAGCAAAGTAGGAAGTGACATTGTCATAGTGACCAAGAAGTTGGCTATTTTGGGTGTGAAGTTGGCCAGTGTATAGGAAACTGTGTGCACGTGTAAATGACAGATTCCTTGACGCAAACCCATAAGAAGCAAATTCTCACTATAGTGAAGCGGGATTCGAAATGGCTCAGGCCCTTTTACACAGCAGTGAATGGTGCAACTGTCATGGTTACCCTATTC